AATGTGTCCCAGGAACAAGAAGGCCGACAGGACACCGGTAATTGATGACCAGACAGCCCGCTGATTCCAGATATGGAGAGTTGCAGATCCAAGGCCAGCCCAGGCAGCCGCGTTATCGTGCGTGGTTGTCAGAGGTTGTTGGATCTGGAGATCACGTCTCGTTGAAAGTGTTTGTGATATGAAGACCAACAATGAGGAGTAAATCTAGGTGAAATTCAGTAATCACCCTTTCCGATGCAGAAGGACATACTGTGGCAAACGTTGTGCCGCTTGTGGTTACGAGGAGGGACAGAATTTTTGGTGTTTGACTGAGAATCCTAGACGATATTCCGGCCCACGCGCCCACATAAAAAGTAGAACGGAATGCATGCCAATTAGCGTCAAATGTAGAGCCCAAGATGCAAGACGCAGAGATTGAAGGGACAGCTGCATAAAACTCTTTGGCTCTGCGAAACCTTGAGCACAGAAATCATATGCACACATGATACAGTCAGTACCCCTTAGTTCATGTGTCAACGTGTCGGCGGAATGCTGGGGAGTATTTTGTCCTTTGGCACCTCCACGAGTAGGGGTGCTGTGGAGCCAGCGTTCCCGCTCTTGGTGGGGATGACTATTTGATGCGCTGTCCTCTATAAAGTCCAATAGAGCGGTGCCCGCTTGTCTCAGTTGTAATCCACAGAAATCAGTTGTCACCATCCCCGCCTGTCGCAAATTGTCGTTGCTGGGATGGGAGACTTGAGTTAGTACTTTGTCGAGATCGGGATGATTCCGATATAACCATATCGTGTGAAGGATTCCGGCACCGTCGATGGCAAGGTCCTCGTCATTGCTGAATTGTTTCTGGTTCAGTGAGTATCGTAGCGAAACAATGATGAGGACTGTGGACGCTGCAAAGCCAACCGCTACCTGGTGTAATTAATTGTTTTAGATTTTGCAGATCACCCCCCTCGGTCGTGTCTGCACTTACGGCAGCTATGTTCACCTGAAAAAGAACGGTTAGTGCACGGTTAGTGCACGGGGTCAAGAATGCAAAGGCACACGCGCATTCAACCGAGTTCCGGAGGTTATCTCCAACACTGTCGCGTTTCCTGGGAGAAGAATCGGTGGCTCCGGAGCCGTTTCAATCGTGGACTGTTCGATATTTGCTTCGACCACTGAGCCGTACGTAGGGGAAACGTGTCCAACTGGACCAAGTTAAGCAGAGACCTGGAGCCAATTGAGCTCGCGCAGCTTACCAGTCCAGAACATGGCAGCCACAATTGTGGATAGAGCATTTTCCAGGTCGTGAAGAGCAACATTGGAGGGTCTTTTCGATGCATCCGCTGCAACCAGGTTGAATTTTTGTATCAAATACCTATAATTGACGCCTAAATGAGGTTCCTATCCAGCAAGAGAAGGACCTCTAATCACACGTCCGCCACTGACAGAACACCGCTATAGGGTGATATACGCTGTGGAAATTCAGTGTTATCAGATCCGTACCAAACACCCCACTATAGAGGCGTCGTTTTAGTGCAGTTGGACAATTCAGTTGCGGCGAACTACCGTGTCTATGAAGTCATGGGACAATTGGTCGGATTCTGTGGTTGATGGAATCCATGCCGATGAGGTTTTGTAGATACTCGGCCGTATTTCCAACACTTTTCGTGACTTGGCATCTATGATGGCACTTTGCGGGATCAGCGACTGAAAGCAACGAAACGTCTGCACAGCTGGAGTGAAATTCAACATTGGTCCAAAGTTGCCGCCTGAATCGACGATGGGGATCGTGGTGTGCATGAAAACCGAGGCGGCCCAGTTGGCGTGGTACGGATTGGACTCATCGAGCAGGGTCGGAGAGCTACGCGATTGAATTATGTTTGGAACTAACATATGTCAGTCTCAGGTGAGGCTCCTGTGAGGGAAATCTACCTAGAGGTGGAATGGATACAACAACTCTCTCTCGCGAGTCCAGGGCCACCGATCGGTTTCTCAGCTCGTCGTCCCGACCGTGATATACATCGAACGCGATTCTGTGTGCTTCCGGAAAGAAGCGGCAGCTGATATTGAACCCAGTTGCGTTGACCGTGACGTTACCACTCCCGTCGTTGGGCTCAAGCACGTCGTATAGTGTTCCTTCATGCAGGCCTTCGCCATCAGCGTTCTTGAGGACCAATGGGAGCATCTGCAACGTGGCGCGTGTAAATGTCACCACCCGCGGGCTTTGGATGAGAGTTATGAAGATTTGAGTAGAATGGGATTACCACTTACGAATGTGTTATTGGCCGAGTGTAATCAGGCGGAAAGAAGGGAAGACCCTTCGTTGCAACGAGCACAGGATGAGAGATGTTGACCGATTGGAGCAGAATTACGTTCGGCACAGAGACGTGTAGAAGTGCAATGTTTGTTAGGTAACAAGCAATCATGAGGACGCCTGTTGTCGAAGCCGAGACCGCCCTCTGCTGCCAGATGTAGAAGAGGGCAGATCCGAGGCCCGCCCACGCAGCAGCCTTATCGTGGGTGGCAGTCAATGTTTGTCGGATTTGTAGGTCCCTTCTCATGGAGAGAGTCTGCGTCACGAACACAAGCAGCGCTAAATAAAGCTGGCCGGGGCTCATCAGCCGCTCGGTACAGAGTGAAACGCTGACACATACTGTGGTAAAAAAGGTACTGCTTATCGTGATGAGCAGAGATACAATCCATTGCCGCTCCACGGAGACAAGAAGGCGATGTCCCGGTCCAAAGGCCCAGATGAATATCAAACCCAAATGGAGGCCTACCAGGATTAGATGCAATGTCAGAGAAAGCAACCTCAAGACGGAGGACTTCGATAACATAGATCTCGTGGGTGCTGCGGAAAGATCAGGACGGGTGCAGACAAGATGCAAATATACATACCTTTCAATACAGGTAACAGACTGCTGGTCGCGTCGTCAATAAGCTCTCCGTATTCATAAGGCCAAAGCTGTTCGAGGGGGAAAGTTGCGGAGTCGCCGCCACTGTCCATCCTGACTTGTGGGGTGGTGTCTCCAGGGGATCACTGGTCATCTCTGCAGGTTTTAAAAGGACGTATCATTTCTTAGTGATGCTGCGGCCATCCGTGCCTGACGATGGATTGTTTGATTCATGAGCTTCTATCCATTCAAGGGGTTTTATCGGGGGAAAGCGATGGCGATAGTGGATGGGACGGATCCGAATTGGCAGATGGGTCTCACCGCACTCGAACAACTTCAAATGAAAGTAGCCAGGCGTATATGGTGATCTGATGTATCACGGACCTCTAACCGGTGATGTGACCACATTACAAAAAGACCGCTAATGAGCGTTTTGTTCTGATACATCAGTCACCGACATCGCCCATTTTGACCACGCTCACCTGCGCCCCGTGGCGGCGTTGTTGCCCGCGATTTTGATGGCGCATTCAAGACGTGATGGCGCTTTCTCGCCCGACCAAATGCGGATGACAGCAACACGTGAATGATCCGACCATCATGGTCCGAAAATGCGAAAAAAAACATATCACCTACATATTTTTTTTTCGGGGCCCCCGAGCAGAGGTATCACGTGCCATCAAATTTCCTATTTACCGTGGGCTCACAGACTGAGCCCAAGGTAAATAGGCTGGACGGTTAGCGCGCGCGAGATCGACACAACTAGTGTATGTCACCTCAGCCCGGCGGGGCGCTCGCGACGGACGTGACCCTCATCGCACTGGCCTCGCTGCTACAAGCTTGCCCGCGCGCGATGAACCAAAGAGGGCGGACGCAGGGGCCGTACTCCTCGCTGTGACAATACTCGTTCCTGCTGGCTGGAATCACGCGTGCTGGATCTTCGCTGAAACATTTGATATTCGCTCGTTCGAGCTTGTGATGGAGAATAATATTCGGTCGTCGAGTCGCTCTCGTGATGCGTTCGACAATCTGCCCCCCGACGGTGAAAAACTCCTTGCGCTGAAGGCAAAAGACTCTCGCGCCCGAAGGCGAACGCAGTAAGCATGTTTGTTTTTTCCCCTCCTTTTTTTTCTGCTCCACTCCACCGTCTTTTTTTTCTGTTCCACTCCGCGCAGTTTTTGTCATCGTCATCCCGTTCTTTCTTTCAGCCGTGGTGCTTAGGAGGTAGGGCGCACTGTTATTATTACATCACGTACCAACCCAAGGTCGAGGGAGTCCAGATGTTTCGGGTATGGTGTAGCTCTCCTCTCGATTGCAATTGCAATGGTGCCACTCCGCGCCCGAACATCTTGTCCTCTTGTTTTCTTTCGCTCGCACCGGACTCCACTGCCCTGTTTTCAATCACATATCTTCATTGAAGCCGCTTATTCCATCTTCCGACGTGATTCGCCACACGAGCGCAGATTTTTCATTTCCTTCGAGTGGGATCTGTCATGTTCGAAGTCGAGGATCCCGATTCACGGACGTACATACCTAGGCTCGCGATGAGAGAAATAAGGCGGGTATGGTACACGGCGCACCGCTCCTCGCCGTTCAATAATGGCAATTGCCGCAGGAGCAGACCGGGGTTCGACTCCCCGTACCCGAATAACCCAGTCGGAATCTTTGCTTTTATTTATTTTCATCTGGCCCAAAGAGTCCGTCTGAATACTGACCATTGCTTACCTCTCACAGAGCGGGGGAAAGGCTATACTCGTTGCCTTACTTCATAGAACCCTCCCCACTTTTTGAAGAGTGGGTAAATAAATATAGCCCCTTCCCCCGCCTGGACTCGAGTTCAGTTCCGACGCGGAGCAATTTTATACTGTCCCCTCCCTAAGCTCGCAACAAGAGAACAAGAGGGACAATGCGGGTATGGTGGACGGTGCACGGCTCTGCTCCTTTACGAAGCTGTATGTGTTAGTCATGTGAGGCCCGGGGTTCGGCTCCCCGTGCCCGAATTAGAAGGGCCCCTAGGATTTCTTTTTTTTACAAAAAAAAAGGCACCGCGGATGACTGGACCAGCTTCACGCTGAACACACTTGTTGCTTTCTATTCACACCTACCCCGGTTCAAAGGATCGCAAATGAATCGGGTATGGTGCACGGCGCACAGCTCTGCTCCTTGCGGAGCTAATGGTGTGCGTAATGCTCACCGCTCCTCGCCGTTCAATAATGGTAATTGCCGCAGGAGCAGACCGGGGTTCGACTCCCCGTGCCCGAATTCGCAGGATACGTCCGGCCTTCTATTTTTCGCTCCTCTCCACCGCTTCATTCCTAGCAGCCTTGGAATCTTGTTCTCTCCACCTGTGGGACGGGACAAGTATTTTTATGTTATTTTATCTTATCCGGCCCGTACAGATTGACCCTCTGGCAGCACAATACCAGTAAGTATTGAATTTACGCACACACCTACCCAGGTCAAACTGAGGGGAGGTACATCGGGTATGGCATACGGTACAGCGCTCCTATCAATAACAATGACAGTATTCAATTCGTCGTGGAGCAAGCCGAGGTTCGACTCCCCGTGCCCGAATAGCCCCCAGCTGTTTTATGTAATCTTTTTAGGCAATTTATTCACCAATTTTCAGTACACACTCATGCATCTTTCAAATCCAAAAATGACATTAAAAGATGTCCACCATTTCCTTTCAACTTTTGAGACTCCGAAAAAAAAGGGCAAAAATGTTCAGTGTTTTCATCATTTCCCCCTCTTGATAGAAGCTGTTCTGAGGAATAATGCGCCTTTGCAGAATTTTTTCCGGTCGAGAATTAATTTTATTTCGGAATACTAAAAATTGATCAATGGGCCCCTAGGATTTCACTCGGGCTGGGGCCCGATTATTCCCGAGTTATGTGGGGAGCGTACCCCCTGGGGCACCATAACATCTGAGACGTAGGCATGGCTGCGGGGCGAGTACATACAACTTTAGTAGCATAGGCATTCGGGAATGCCTATTGATGGCCCGAATGCCTATCGCGCAATTGAATGCCTATCGCCTGAACGAATGCCTACCCATCAGTTAATCATTGCCGGCTACGTGAGCATCGGCCACGATGACACGTTTCCGATGTGACCAAGTCACACATCAAGCGTATTTTCCTCTCTACCCTCTCCTCCCGCACCAATGGACAGAAAAGACTTCCTGCTGGCTACTCTACTTCAGTCAACTCAGGCCGATATCGATGACTACAAGCGATGGATTGGTGCGTCGCGTCCATCACTCGCCCTCGCCGCGGATCTGATTTTCTTTTCGCAGTCTCAATTGGCTCAGAACCCAGCTTATGGCGCGTCAAATGTCCTTGAATGGATCAAGATCGATAAATTCAACGACTATCTCATCTACAAGAGTGAAAACACGGTCAAAAACGCGTAGATATGCCTCCCCCCCTCCCGAGTCGGGCCATTTACTGTATTTTTATTTTTAGGACGTCAAGCGCGCCGCCAGACGTCAACGTGGCTGTTGCGTCGCAGATCACCCCCAAATCGGTCACCACCTTGCCCATGCGCCGGAGCCGCTCGCCCTCCGTTGAAAGTGACCGTCAACTATCTTAATTCCATTCGGGGTCTTTCAGACCCGGAGGATATTGCGAACTGGAATAACTTCTGCTCGACAAACGAGAATAAGAAGCTTCGGGGTACGTCCATGGGCTACAGAACCGCTTCCTCACTAAAATTCTACTTGTAGATTGGCACACAAATAAAGTCCAGTACCCTTGACTGCTTCCTGGATACAATGAGTCGCTTTCCAGCTTTCCTAAGGGATTTTGGCAACAATCCCCCAGTCACACGAATCTTGTTGAAAGCGCGCATGTGGCTTCGAACAAAGGAACTAAAATCAACCTTCTCCCGGTTGAGTCCGTCCGAAAGTGTGTATTTTATTACAAGACCGATCGTGTGCTTATGGCCGATAGGGCACGTATTTTTGACGCCGAAAAGGCCGCCTCTATTGCTGCTGCTCGCGAGGCATGCATTCTTGTCAACCGTCACAATCAAGATCGAGTCAGGATGGCACGGAATGTCACTCAAACCGCGAAACGTAAATCTTACCGACAGGAGCACGGCGACGTTGGTACTTCAATTCTTGAGACCCAGGCTGAGCTGGCGGCCCTCAACGCAAGCAAAAAAGATGCCGCTGCATGACTCAAAGAATTGAAGTCCCAGAAGAAGGAACTTGGGCGTGTACCATGTCACAGTACCGCCAGCAGGATTGGGTCGTCCACCTCGATTCCCAAACTTGTGGGTACACGGCCGGATGACTCGGACGATGGTATGTAATCAACTAGCGCTCCTGAATTTTCCCCGCTTATTTAACCTACCAGAAGAAACACAATTTCAGGTCGAACCCGATGTTCCGAGTTCACCGGCGGGTCCATTGATGTCGTCTTCGCTGTTCAGTTCCCCAGGTCCCATGTTGCATCGTACGTGATTTATTATACTCAACTTCATCTGACTGAATTTATGTTGTAGCCCTCGATGAGACCGATATTGAGTATGGTTCAGGATCTTACGACGGCTCTTTCGGAGTCGACCTGCCCATGAACGACTTGGGTGGTTCGCCATTATGGACCATCACAGATGAGGTGCTTGACGCCGCCTTCGCAGCTGCCGCCTTTAATTCCAATAATCTGGAGCCCATGGTTGATGCAGGGGGCTTCGAGCAACAATGACAGGCGGCGGCCAACACGGGGTTTGATCAGGAATTGCAGGCCATTCTCGACGCGGTCCAGTTCTCAGCTCCCGCCGACGACTGGCCGACACTCCCACCAGCACTTCCATTGTCTCCACCGCCGGAGTCTGCTTCCTCTCGCGCTGACTCTCCCGTTCCTACTCCTGTTGCCCCCGAACCCGCTCCTGCTCCTCGGAAACGACAAAGGGAAGAGGTGGACTTGAGGAATGTGCTCGATCAGCCGCGAGCTCGCAAGGTTCGCAAACGGGAGTGGTAATACTTATTTGTACTACACCTACTCATATCCACATAATTGATTCGTGGGACTTCCTCCGTTCGAAATGGGCAGCGCAACGAAGCCGAATAATTACTGCTTTGTTGTTGAACCAAACAAAATGCACCCTCTGTTGCCACACATGCATAAATACCCGGAGCTCTCCGATATCGCCGCTCACATTGTAAATATCGACACCGTACCTTTTCTAATAAAATAAACAAAGCAATAGTCACGATATGAAGGCTTTCTGCACCACAGTTGTCAATGCGGCGCTCAGTTTCGAATCTCGGGCGTCTCCGGCGGTGTGATGCCATCACGGAGATTGCCAATGTTGGTGAAGTTCGATTCACTTTGGGGAATAGGCATTCAGCTGAGGGAATAGGCATTCAGCTATCAAAATAGGCATTCAGCTATCAAAGTAGGCATTCAGCTATCAAAGTAGGCATTCAGCTATCAAAATAGGCATTCAAGCCATCAATAGGCATTCCCGAATGCCTATGCTACCAAAGTTGTCGTGCCTCCTGCGGGGTTCGTCAAGAAATCAACTGAATTGAATAATCCTTTCTGGGACGCAAATGTTTGTCGCCAGGTCCGGGGGGCGTCACCCGTAGACACTAGAGCAGGCCGAAGATAGAGTGAAGGCTCAACGTTCAGGTGTTGAATAGTTGTACAATCATTTTATCGTGGACCGTTCCTCTCACGCACAGCTATGCTTATTGACACAAGATGGCTTCTGTCAACAGCAATATCCTTCTCAGTGCACATTAGGTCGAAGATAGGCCGAAGATAGAGTGAAGGTTCAACGTTCAGGTGTTGAATAGCTGTAAAACCATCTTATCGTGGACCGTTCCTCTCACGCACAGCTATGCTTATTGACACATGATGGCTTCTGTCAACAGCAATATCTTTCTCAGTGCACATTAGGCCGAAGATAAAGCGAAGGTTCAAAGTGTTTAATAGCTGTAAAACCATCTTATCGTGGACCGTTCCTCCCACGCACAGCTATATATATTGGCAGAAGATGACTTCTGTCCACAGCAATCCCCTTCTCAGTGCACATTGGGTCGAAGATAGAGCGAAGGTTCAACGGTCAGGTAGTGAATCGCTGTGAACCCATCTTATCGTGGATGATTCTTCTCATGCACAGCTATCTATATATGGCGAAAGATGGCTTCTGTCTTCAGTATATAAACCTATTGCTCTGCCAGAACCTTTTTTCTACACGAACCTTGCTATTACGGAGCAGGAAAATCCCGTCCGCATCTCATTACTTTCAGCTACAAGTCTAAGCACACTAGTAGTGAGTCTAATCCGAGTCCTCAAATCAGTTTCACGCATTAACACCCTGTCATGATCATAAGTACAGCTTCAAATGCCAAAACGGGACTGCGGACTTTGTGACGGAAGCGGTTCACAGACCTCAACATGTTCTGACTGCAAAGGCAGTGGCGAAGTGCAGGGAACAGATTGTATAAGTTGCGATGGGAAGGGAGAATCTACATATGAATGTGGCGGGTGTAATGGGACCGGGAAACAGTGATGTGCGGCTGACTTGTGTTATATCGCCACTGGGGTCCGAATAGTACCTGTCATTCCAGGAATTGAGTCAGCCTGAATGATACTGTATTTCATCAAGAAACCAGTGGAATTCCCGGTCAAAATATTGAAATACACGCACTTGGCAGTCAGGTAAAAAAGGAAAGGTTCCAGGGAGGATATTTTGACCTGAATCCCAGTCCGTTCCGTGTCGAGTGGGCGTGTGTTCAGGAACCCAATTGTGGTCAAAACTCCTTCATTTTCACGCCAAATTAGAGGGAAAATTAATATGATTTGTTATGAAATTACATCAGTAACTAATGCCTAGTTCGCTTGGGTGACGATCCACCGCTCGACTTGGCGCGCTTCTTCCCCTTCCCAATAGAGTCCCCCTCCTGCGCCTTGTCCACATTGTGGGGGTGCTCGTGGTCAGAGAAATCCAGCAGGTTGTCGCCGGTGTCATCCGAAGACGAGGAGCGAGGGATTGGACGGGGGCGTGGGGGTGCGCGTGGTTGCGATGGGCCAGGGTTCGGGGAGCCGGTGCGAACTCGCGTTCCAGAGGGGGGTGGGGGGGGTGGGGGGGGGGGGGGGGGGGGGGGATGGACATGCGAGGACGAGCTCGAACGATGAGACGAGGTCCCGCGAGCTTCGCGGGGGGCAGCGGCACGGCGACCGATGCACGTTGATGGCTTACGCAGGCAGCTTTTGTAGCTCTTGCGATTGTCCCAGAGATCCTTGACG